GAGCGCAGAGTGGGGGAGATACTTTGGTCTCCAGAACTGGGTTTGTTTGCCAGTTATGGAGGATCACATGAATCACTGCAACTCCAGAGAGGAGAGGAGCATCTCCTTGGACCCCTAGAAAAGCTCTGGAGGGTGGAAAATTCCTCATGTCTCAGGGCAGCGAYTGCCAGGAAACCACTGGGCATGGGCCAAAGGACCCTCTCTCTCCTGCTTGTGTCCTGAGTCCCTGTTCAACTTGCATTCCTGGGATCTGAGGGGCAGCCACAAGTGTTTCTGATCCCACCTGATTTCTTGACCTGGCAGGTCCATACAAGGGAGTTAGTGACAAATCTTGCCCCAGGTAACTGGTACAGAGAGAGGAGGTTGGGGCTGCATTAGGAGTTTGCAGCCAGCACAAGTAGGGTGAGGTTGCACCAGAAACTTTGGGTATTTTTGGCTGCAGTCTCCCAGCCCTTCTGCAATGGGCTGYACCTTGTGATGTTCAAGGCTGCGGTGTCCAGCACGCCTTGTCTGGGACACCCCAAGTCACTTCTTGGCAGGACAGGCTGTTTCTGCGAGACAGGAGAGTTCAACACCAGAGAGGATGAAGGTTCAGCAGAGGTGAGGAGTGGGCACATGCACAAACCTGTTTTCTGTCCTGTTTTGGGTGGCTGGCTGGATTTAACTGCTTTTGCACAGAGGCTCACAGGTCCACGTAGTGCTTTGAGCAGCATTTGGCCTGGGCTGTCTGCTGGATCCAGTATTTAACTCTACAACTTTGGAGATCTATGACTTTGGAGATAATCTCTTGTAGCACCAGTTGTGCCCCAGGTTTCAGCTGTGGTCAAGACAGCCCCGTGCAAAGCTCCCTGCTCCTGGGAGAAGGAGCAGGGCAGRAGCAGGGTCGAGCTCACAGGTATGGGGGCCAGCATTGCCAGGGATGCCATTCACAAGCTTTCCTGACAAATCCATGATGTGCCAGCAGACTGAAGGCCAGTTTGGGGGGAAGTTTGGCTGTAGGAACCACATCTTAGCTGCTCAGGCCACCTGGGAGCTGCCTCTGCCCTTGCTCAGTTGAGCWGGTCACACCAGAGGGCTGGAGCTGTGGGCAGCAGCCCTGTGTGTGCACCCCGCATCAGATAAAACCGAACTGCATTGCAGGAGAAAAGGTGAGTTTGTCTCAAAAAGCATGTATTTTGTAAAGAAAGACCCCCAAATTCAAGACCTTCACCCAAAACAAACTATTCCAAAATCCTGCTGGAGAGAACAGCAAACAGGAGAGCTGCAACATCACCCCACAGCTGGGGCAGGAGGAGGTGTTTACAGTTTGGCTGCTTCTAAATTTGAATTCTTTCAGACAGTGCCAGGACTCAACACCCAGGAGCAAGTCCTCGGCAGCTAATATAAGGATAGTAATAAGATCAGGTATTTGTTCCTCTGAAGAAGTTGAAGGCTTTGCTAAAGATGAGGAGAATTCTGCCATGTTCRTGGTTGTAGAAACTGAGGCACAGAAAGCTGCAGGTGTTGGTCAGGGCTATGACTCTGTCCTGTGGAACGGGGACCCGAGCAGAGCAATCTCCTCTTGGCCCCTTTTACTAAAACATGGAAAACCTCTTAGCATCCATCAGAGACTCCTTGACAAAATGAAGGGATGGTATCTTGGCAAAATCCTGGTTTTCTGAAGCTGAAGAGGAGAGAAGGAAGGTGAGGAGAAGGGAAAAAAAACTCAAAGAACCCCAATTGATCACAAAAAATCTATTCAGTCTTTCCTGAATCCTCTTAAAATGAAGCAATAGTCKGAGATGTTTTAAAGAGCTACGCTGTGTAATGCAATGCTGTTCCTTGCACACAGATAACGGAGCAGCCAGGCAGCTCCCCGTAGGGCTGTAAGAGTTCCAGGTCACCTTTCACTGCAGGTTGAAACAAACCGCTCTCCAGGGAAATGTTTATTTTAACCTTATCTGGCCCTTTCCCTGCAGTTCTGATTGCTTAGGTCTACGTAGTTCCTCTCAAGTGGTATGTTTATGATCATGGWTATTGGTGTATAAAGAGATTAAGACAGGACGACACTATTAAATAGATGAACGAAAGGTTATATCTGGAGTACATGGGGGAGAGTGAGGGGCAGGAGAGTGARGGGCACTTCTCCGTAGGTAGACATGGCTGGGTCCGCTGTCCATCCCCTCCACAGCCAGGAGGGCCAAACTTGGTCTTGGCCGTGCACAAATCCACAGCTTTCACGTCGTCCTGGGGTTTGGGAAGGTGAAGGCARCTTTCCTCTCCCAGAGGCAAAAGGGAAAATGTTTCCAAGTGCAGACAATGTCCAGAGGCCCTGGGCTGCCCCAGTGCAGGCAAAGTCCAGCTCTCTGTAGCCAAGACTTGCTCCTGGGAAGGTCCCTGGCTTTTTGCCCCTTGATGTGCTGAACCCAGGCCAGAGCTGTGAGCACAGAAGGGGTTAAACTGCCCGAGAGCTGCTAATCACCTCCAGCCCGGCCTCCAGCACAAGCTGGCACAGAGGGCAGGGAAACAACCCCCACGCCAAGGGCAAAGCAAGGTCTGCAAACCCAGCACGGACACAAGCAGGCCCCTGGCTTAACCCAARTAATTCAGTTGTGTTTAGGAGATCAGCTTGAGCCGACGAGCTCCGTGCGTGGTGCCCAAGCCAGGCAATGATCCCTCTGCATCTGCACAAGGACCCAGGAAGGTGCAGAGGAGCAGGAGTGCCTCCAAAATCCTCCTTTGGGACCTCCTAGAGTGCCCAGGAATAGTAAGTGTTGAGGATRAAGAGCTGAGGGCTGAGCTCTGAGGGATGTGGTGGGCCGGGCTGGGAACTCCAGCTGGCCGTGGGCACCTGGATGCCCTCCCTGTGGTCACCACTATCCTGATGTTCCTTCTCGCAGCCTGGGCAGGCTGGAGGGCATCGGCCCTGCTGCCGTTTTAGGCAAGACCTGGGTGCAAATATTGAGTTGCAGGCCCCGTTTAATCATTAAAGAGCCTGGTTCCTCCTCTGTTTCCTACCCAGCGTCAAAGGGGGAGAAGATCCAGCCTTGGTGGCTCCCATGCTGGGTTGCCATTGAGCCACACTATTTTTCATCAGGATGGATGATATGTGTGGAGGCAGCAGGAAGGTGAGGGTCTGGAAATGGGTGAAACTCAGCTCCATGGGGTGTCCACAGGAACAGAGGTGCTAGTGCACCCATGATGGGTGGTCGTCTCTGCCTCTGGGGCCCAGGCTGAGGTGGGAATCACCTGTTCTCTGTCCCGCTTATGTCTCCTACCAAGGGGACAGCTGCTTGCCCTGGACAGCTGTCCTTGTTGTGGGGTTCTCCAGGCCAAGCTGCTGCACCAGCAGTCGGGGGCATCTGGTCCCTGATAGTGGTACCCYAGGTGGGAACCTGTCCGGTGGCGGGGCTGGAGAGCCCCTCACCTGTGGTCCTAGAGCGYGCTGCTCTGCAAGGTCATCTGTCCCCAGGCAGTCAGTGCATGTGTGGGGAGGATGGATTTGACCACAACTCCTCAAAAGCACTTCATAAAGGAGTCTAAAGGGAGGGAAACTGAGGCATGGGCAAGCAGCCCCCAACAGGGCAGAGCCCGGAGCACCTTGATCTCCTGCAGACCTGTCCGTAACCGCACATTGGATCGGCTTGCCTCCAGCAGGAACCCCAAGGACCCCCTCTCTTTCCTAAGAGACAACCTTTCTTTGCAGCAGGAGAAAGGCCGGGCTGCARCATTCCTGCCCTGCACGACCTGCCTCCTGGACGGCCACCTGGGGACAGTCACGGAGCTCCTGTCCCAGCTTCCGTGGCCTTGATGAACATGCATGGAGTCCTCAACCACCGCCCTGGGGAAGACCAAGGGTAACGTTCCCGGCCAACACGGTGCTGCTGGAGGACTGTGAGGGCAGGGAGGAGGAGGAGGGAGGAGCCATCATGTTAGGCTCAACAGCCTGCCCAGGTTGGAGCCTATGGTGGCAATGGGAAGTCCCAAGTGTCCCCTGCTGCGTGGCTTCCAGATGGGCTTATTTGGCTTGATGCCTGGCCCCCACAGGGTATTGAACAGGGTATTTTTCTTGCAGACATAAAGAGCCCAGACACAGCCTAACCGTCACTTTTTCCACCATTGTACATCATCATCACTGACCATGCTTTAGCTCACTTATTTTATATATTCTAGTCAAAAAAAAAATATATATCTTCCAGAGTCCTTCTACTTTATCTTCATTAGGTAGAAAATGGGCTTTTAATTAAAGATAGTTTAATACAGAAATCAACACAGGAATCAGATTTTGTCAACATTACTAGTTTTCACTGAAAGAAACAAAAGGAGAAGATACTGATTTGAAAATAGAAGTTAGCTACTGAAACCGGAAAGAATTCTGAAATCTGACCATTCCTATTCGAATAAAGACAAAATGGAGAAAACACAGAAATCATAATAGAAGATTCTGCAATCTGATGACAGCTCCAGGTAGCAAAGTCTTTATTGTCTTGTGTTGCAAACAAGGCAACCTGCTTCCACTATTGAAGGCTGGCATTGCCACATGAAGGAGATTTTATAGGAAATGACAGTGCAAGCAAAAAGAGGCTGATTTATTTATTTATTTACATATATTAAGAAGGAGAAAGGACACCAGCTCCAGGTGTTTATTTTGCATTTCATACGCATACAAAGTGCCAGTGTGGCCACCCTGGGCTGCAGCCTCCTCTTTGCCATGAAGGTCAGTGGCGGATACTGGAAGGAGCAGGTTTGAACCTGAGCTGGATGACAGGTTTAACCTTCCTCCAAACCACCTGACAATTTTACAGATCACTAAAATGTGCATGAAATTGTTCTAATCCTGCCTGCTTGAGCAGAGGGCTTGGACTAGACCCCTAGAGGTCCCTTCCAACCTCAGCCATTCCACCTGTGGTCCTGCCAGGATCTAATTGGCTCCTATCACCACCCACACCCCTTCCTTGTCATTCAAAACCATTAACTACCACCTAAACTTTGGCTCCTTGGGTGTATTTAGCTGGTGTCTTTTCCTACCTGCTCAGCTTTTGTGGTTCCCTCTAAAGAGCTGCAGAGCAGCAGGAGCCCAAGCACCTGAAGCAGGTGTTGGTGTTTGTAGGCACAATGAACTGCTGTGGGCACCAAAGCTACTTCTCGCTGGGTTTTAGGAAGCAGCCTTGGGTTTCTAGGCTGGAAGGGTGGCTGGCTGCAGGGTGGCCCAGAGCAAGGATGGGAAATGTGGAGGATGGGGTGCCTCCACATCCAGCAGCTACAGAGTGCTTCCCGTGCTTCCGGACACAGGCTTTGCTAGTGGATGTGCTCCCAGGTGTGTTTGATGCTTTATTCTTTATTTTCTTGAGATTTATTTATATATGCATATAAATTTTCAAAATGCTGCAGGCTTTGGCCACTGGCTGTTTTTCAGATTTGTATGGAGCTTTTTCCCCTAAAATCTAGGGGCTTGCCTGTCTCTAAGCTMCAGTTAGCTTGGAGATAGGACAGCTTAGCTGGGGTCCCTCTCTGGTTCACAGCCTCCCTTGGGTAGAGGATCCTGAAGCCATAAACTCTGCAGGGGGTAGCTAAGCACACTCCCAAAAATGAAGAAATCTGTGAAATCTTTCCTATCTTTTCTGGGCTGGTTCAGTATGGACTTTGTAGCTGAGGAGGCACCTGAGGAGGTGAAGGGGGAGCTTAGTGTGGGTTTTCTGCAGGTTGTGGTCTCCCTGATTTGTGGTGGGRGAAGCCTGAGTCTTTCCTGGCTGGTAACAGGCTGTGCTTGTTATCTACCTTCCCTCGTCCTCCCTCTGTGCTCCTTCTGAGCTGGAACTGGAGCAACCCCCTCTTAAGTTTCTTGCAGCTGTGTGTTGCATGAAAACCTGGGACCGCTCCAGGTGCCTTTCCAAGCCTTGTGCTTCTTCCAAAACATCTTTCAAAAACCGTTGTCTTCCGCAGAGGGAGCGGACACGGCTCTTGCTCGGAGGGGTTTGCAATCTAGGTTAGGTGGGAAGCGATGCCAGGAGCAGCGACACCAGGGAGGAGGGCGGGCGGGAGCCCTGCGTGACGAGCCTGGGAGGCTGCCGCTCGCGCAAGGTGCGCGTTGCATTAGTAATGTGCTCGCAGCAAATAACGCTGGGCTGGCATGGGAATGTGGGTCACCGCTGGCAGAACCGCTGAAGGAAGAGGGAGCTGCCGGTGCTGTGCTGTGAGGAAAGCGAGGGATGTTTTTGGCAGGGGGGATCTAGCTACGGCAGATGCTCCAACTTGTAAGTAGYAGCCTTGGGTTGTGGGAGATGGTGCTTGTGCCTTGGGGGCACCTCTGGCTTGTGCGTGGGGTGGAGGGGTCTCTGAGAAGTGTCTGTGTGTGGGGGGGGTGTTTGAGGTGGGGATGCAGCAGCCTGTGCTTGTGGAGTGCGATGGTCACAGCTTGTCACGGAACTTGGATGTGTTTCCTGTTGCCGTCTGTGGTCCTGGCTGTGCCTGGAGCATCCCTGCTGCCCCGGCAGCAGTGATGAGGGATGCAGCCGGCCATGGATAACCACATATTCCAGTGCATCTTCGTGACCTATTTCTGGTTCTGTTGTTCTGTGCGAGTGCGCTCAGAAAATCTTCATGCAGTAGGCAGAAAAGCCTGCTTGCTTTAAAGCTCTCCAGCTGTCAGAAGCTACCCTGGCTTTGCAGGTGTGCTCCAGGTGGCTCTTGGCCACTGTCATATGTGGTGCAGGATGGGGATATGCACATCACAGAAATATCTGTGGGACTTTGGTGCAGGAGGAGAGACTCCTGTCTCAGAGCAGGTTTGTTTAATGAATTAGCTCTGTTGCAAAGGCTGCCCTTGGTCAGCAGGGACTTGTTGAGTAGCTGTGCTGACCGCAGAGCRGGATGGGCAGGCGGAGGGAAGCAGAGGGAGCCACGGGTGCTGTGGCCCGGTAAGAGCTGTGCAGACTTTATTCAGCTGCAGAACCAACCAGTTACTGCAGCGCGTGCCCAGTCCTGCAGAGCCAGCTCCGAGCTGGTGCCGAGTCCTGCACTGCCAGCAGATACCCCCAAGGCAGGTGGATGGGTTCCCATAACTTGCCTGCTTGCTCTTTGAGAGACCCCAGCCCTGAAATCTCTGCGTATGCACAAAGGGAGTCATTTTTCTCCCTGCGTGCCAAGCCTGCAGATGCAGGCTTGTCGGGCACCAAATCCAGAGGGCAAATCCAGCAGCTGATGCAGCAATGTGCACAGAGCAGTGTTGAAGTGGCCAAACTGCTTGGGCTTGTTGTCAAACTGCTGGGTTGCTCTGTGAGGGGCTCTTGAGCAGGAGGAAGACCCCTTCCTGCACAGCCCTCTATCAAATGCTGCTGTTCACAGCTTGGTGCTCGTCCCCCAGGTGCATCTGTAAATCTGCAAGTGCACCTGGCAGTTCCYGCCCTCCCCTCCTGCCTGTCACTATCTTTCAAGCTAGCATTGCCTCATCRGAGATGACAGGGCTGACATCCCTCGGACAGTCTGTCCAGCAGCCTGTGGGACAAGTCCAGTTCCTGGGCAGGTGCTGGACGACCTTTGTAGACCTTGGTGATCCAGTGAGACAGACTATTGAGGAAATGAGGGAGGAGGGAGACTTATTTGGATACTGGAAGCTGCCTTTGTGCTGTTGCTTCTGGTAGGTGCCTGCAGGGCAAGGCAGCAGTCACCACTGGTGTCTTGGTGACCTTCTGATGTTGTAAACCTGCTTGCTAAATGGTTTGTAGGTGGTGGGGTTTTGTTTTGCTTTTTCTTTGTTTTCTTCCCTCTAGATTCCTGCTTTTTCCCCCTCCCAGTCTGGCCAAACTCCAAAGCCACTGCCTGGCTCTGCTTCTCATGAGATCTGCACCTRGGTCTCAAAAAACTGCCACCTGTTCCCAGGCTAGCAGCTCTCTGGAGCAGACTTAGTCCATCTACCTGCCACGCATCAGCCCCATTTCCCACCAGGAGGGAAAGGGCTCTGCAAATGGTCATGGACTTGCTTTTACCTCAAACCTTGTTCCCCAACAGGGCAATGGGCTCTGGCAACTGGTGCTGTTGAGTTCTGTCCAWTATGACATCTTGCTTGTGTTCCCCAAAGCACACTTTTAATAATAATTAAAAAGGTGCATGATTCTGGGAACGTTGTGATTCTTTCCCTCCACTAGCAGAGTTAGGGCTGAACTAGAAGGTGAGAAATGAGTCTTTGAYTACTTTTGTTCCCTATCATCAAACAAAATGAAGTGCCCCTCAAGCCTGTGATGGGAGTTGAGGCTTCTCCTGTGCTCCACCTACGCARCAGGGAGGCAGACTTGGGGCTTTGCTTTCTTCATCCCGCACAGCCCGGTATGGGATGCTTCTTGGTGGGAATCCCAGCTCTGGCACTGCTGTGTGTCCCTGGGCTGGTGGCTTGCTGCTGTGTGYGCTGCCTACCTCCTGAGGGCCCTGAAAGGTTTCATTCATGTCCCTAATTGCTCAGGGAGCCCTGAATGAAAGGGGTGGTGGCTGTGCCAAGCCTGACGTATCCCAGCACAGCATCTTCCTTGTGAGCCCTTCTCCCTCCTGAGTATGCAGGGGTGCAGCTCAGGGAGGTTTGGGGGAGGATTTTGACCAAGTCCCCCTCTCTGCCATGGGAGACAGTGTTTGTCTGGTGCTCATCCCTTCCCTACGAGCTGCTGCGGGTTCCCGGTGGGGCTGGGAGGGTGTCCTGGTTCCTATAATTTCCTGGTTATTTTGGTACGTGGGTGGAAGCGGGGAGGAGAGTGGCTGTAGAGAACAGCAAGGTCAGTGAGGAAGAACTGAGCCTCCATGCACCCGTGATGGTGCTGCCRCTGCATCGCCTGAGGATTTTCCAACTTTTCCTGCAGAACTTATAAAGCACGGCCGCGAGAGGATAGGACAAACCATCAAGGCGTCCGGCTCCAGGCTCTGCTCGTAGTGAGTACGAAAGGCTCTGGGTGGGATCCGAGCCCTTTAACGGCGCGGCCGGAGGAGCCCCGTGGCGGCGCCGCGCGGTGAATGGAGCGGGCTGGCACCGGCCTGCTGTGGGCAGGGCCCAGCGAGCGGCCACGGCGCGGGGGGACGCGGAAAGGGCTCCGAGCTGCGGGATGAGCGGGAATTGTGTGGAGGTGAGAGGGGAAGGGCTCTGAGCTGCAGGATGGGCTGGAGGTGAGAGGGGAATGGGGTTTGAGCCCATGGGATGAGCAGGAACCATGTGGAGATGAGAGGGGAAGGGCTCGGAGCCCATGGGATGAGCGGGAACCGTGGGGAGGTGAGAGGGAAAGGACTATGGGCCGTGGGATGAACGGGAACTGTGTGGAGGTGACAGGGGAAGGGCTCTGTGCCCACGGGATGAGCGAGAAATGTGAGGCGGTGAGAGGGAAAGGGCTCTGTCCATGGGATGAGCAGGCACCATGTGGAGTGAGAGCCTCGTGTGGAGTCAGGACAGGGGCAATGCTCCTTGGAGCTGTCCTCTGGGAGCTTGGAGGGGCTGAGGGGGAATGGGGAGAGCTCCCTAGGGCAGCAGGTAGAGAAACTGGGTATTTAAGTGGGGCAGTGAGTGGAGGAGAGGCTGCTTATGGCGCCTGTCTCCTGAGGCTGCCCCAGCTGCTGCAGGCCCTTCGCTGAGGACACCAATGACCCAAGCTGCCCCGTGCAGGGTGTCCCGGTCTGCGCTGGCCTGGGGAAACAGCCCAGCTGGACCTGGCCAGGCTGGGACCTGCTGCGTGACGTCCTGGTGGCAGGTGCCTGCTGGGACCCAGTCCTGCTCCTGGTGGGAGCTGCATCTGCCCGGAGAGGACAGCCCTGTCTGGCCTTGGGACCACGCTGCTGCCAGGGCTGTGACTGTCGCTGAGCTGCCTCCCTGGCAAATGAAAGACTAATCGGAGTRTTTGTGAAGCTTGGCTTGGGTGGTGGTTTTGTGTGTATTTTTATCCTCGCTTGCTCTTCTCTTCCCAAGTGCTGAACGAGTTGCCTTTTTAATGGACCGATCCAGAAGCCCAGACACCAGTCCCCAGGTGAGACCACGGCTCTGACCTGGGAACCACGAATGAGTTGAGGACAGGGGTTGGTGTCTGCAGGAGAAGCAAGGAGGGGACAGGAGGATTGTGGGGGGGAATTGTTAGCTTAGGGTGCAGAGCAAACAAATCCTTCCTGGGTGTTTAGTGTCTCTGACTGGGAAAGTTTTACCTGTCCTTGTAGTCTATGGGTGATGCTAGGGGGAGAAGAGGCCCCAAGCAGCCTTTTAGACAAGGATCGTTTCCCCCTGAGTCCAAGGAGGGGACGATTCCTGGGGAACAGCAATGGGGAAAGGAAAGATGACCATGTGTGCACATATGTACGTTATTCCTCTCTAGGAACTGYGAGGTGCTACCTCTGTGGCACTGGCCTTCAGCACAGATTTTTGGCTTGTCAAGCCTTCACACTGGGCATAGTGTTGCTTTAGGATATGGTCTTGTTCCTCCTTTTCTGGGGGCCTTGGGTTAACAAAGCATCCCATGGGCTTCTCARTGATCAGTGTTCCTCAGAGGGGCTGTGCTGAGCGGGGGAACACAACCTGCAGCATCTCACACAACTCCTCCCAACTCACGTTGTTGTTATTGTCCTCTCTAGCCCCCGGCACCAAGTGACAACATCAACCTCGGGCCTTCTGCTAACCCCAAGTAAGCTTCCTGCAACAGCCAGGTAGGGTGTGGAGCTTGCACTGAAAGGATTTGGAAGGGAAAACCAGGTAGCCCCTGGGTGGTGGGGTTTTTTGTTTGTTTTTTTTTTTTTTTTTTTGTTAGTTTTTGGTGTCATCCATTCAATTATGTTGCCCGTCTCTTAGCATCATCTGTATCTGCAGTGCACCTTCCTTCACGGCATTCGGTTACAGTTAGTTTAGCCATCTTCTGCTGTCCATGTTCTTTGCACCCTCTTGTTCTGCCTGCCTTTTGAGGGAGAAGAGGACATGATATTTAACATTTTTCATCAATGTTGCCTCCCTGGTCAGCCTTCTCCCTAGAAACAGGAATAAGCTCTGCCCCTTTTGGAGGTGCCACCAGCAAGAGCTTTTGCCTGCTCTTGGGTTCAGCAGGTGGAGAGCTCTCCTTCTTTGCTTGGTGTCCTGACACRCACAGGGTAAATTGCCCAACTGATGACAGTGTCTTGAGCAGTTGAGGGTGCCCTGTGTAGTATTCCTTAATCCTTTCACAGGTGCTTGTATTTACTTGAAGGAGTGTTGCTCTGATAGTAGTGTTGCTGCTAGCTGTTCCTCTCCTAGAGGCGTTAACTTGCTGTGTTTTTTGTCCAACAGTGCCAAGCCAACAGACTTTGACTTCCTGAAAGTTATTGGCAAGGGAAGCTTTGGAAGAGTAAGTGAGTTTGTSCAGCTGGGTTGTAGTTTAGATGTGTTGAGAGTGGGGCTGAGAACAAGTGAAACCCAAGGCAGAGGYGTGTGGTTGTGATTTTTCTTTTCCATTTTCTATTCTTTTTGAGATATCTTGCACTCCCTCTCCAGAAAGAAGTGGGAAGTGTTTTCTGTGCAGTSTTTCGTGTCTTATTGTGGTGAGGAGCTAGAAATTGGCTTAAAAAAAAAAAGCTTCAGGCTCATTCAGCCAGCAAAAAGTCTAGATAAATCTGTGCCTGGTGAGAAGACAAAGACCTGCTTCAAGAGGGATCCTCCCCCAGTGCTCCAAAACCACTTGTTGTGTGGGTGACGTGTATTTGGAGAAGTCTTGTACCCTTCCCTCAACAAGTAAGCCCTGAATTAGGAAAACCTGGATTAGGGGGTCTCAGCAGACTGAAACTTAAGTTTTTAAAATGTGGTGCTCTGAGTATAATCATTAGCATGAAAGTTGAACTAGTGAGGAAACACGAACCAAGCAGAGGGCAAGAGACTCAAACTTGTGCCTGTAATTTTCTRTTGCAGGTTCTTCTGGCCAAACGCAAGTGTGATGGGACTTTCTATGCTGTGAAAGTCCTGCAGAAGAAAACCATCCTAAAGAAAAAGGAGGTATGTCTACAGGAGAACCCATGTATCTTGTGGCTGAGTGAATAGTTGTGTAGACTGTTGGCATGCTAAACGTGGCCTTGTGTGTCCCTTGGGAATGTAGAGAACTAATGTGGATCCAGGTTAGTGAGCAGAAAGCTTCCCATTTGGAGGCTGGAGATCACTGCTAAGGATTCCCAGYATCTCTTTGCTTGCAGCAGCAGTGAGCTCCTGTCTCACCTTTGGCTGGACCCTGGCTTGAAACTAATTCTTTGGCTTTATTTTTTTTTGATAGCAAAACCACATCATGGCAGAACGTAATGTGCTGCTGAAAAACGTCAAGCATCCCTTTCTTGTGGGGCTCCATTACTCCTTCCAGACCTCAGAAAAGCTTTATTTTGTGCTGGACTATGTAAATGGGGGTGAGGTGAGTGCAAACCGGTTGTCTTGAGTCTATTTAGTATTTCCCAGACCTGCTGTCTAAATGTTTAGACATTACATTTCAGTGTCATCACTGACCAAAAGACAATGTTGCTTTAACATCTGAGAAGAAACCAGTTAGAAGTGGCTGGTGTGCCTCAGTTAAATGASGTCTTGCTGGATATGCTGGGGTGAAAGTAAAGACTGGAACAGCATGAAACATTTCAGAAATGACCCTGTGATGCTGCCTGTCCCTGGCTTGGGCACCCCTTCAGCAGGCCCTGTCCTTACTGTGCAGCACAGTGCCCTGATGAGGTGTCTCACCTCAGCCTGAGCTTCRTGGGCAGGTTTTCCTGGGGGAAACATATTAGTAGGGATATGCTGGCTCTCCAGCTCCTTTCCCAGCTACTCTCCATGTAAGAACACTGGAGGGGAAGGAGGGAAAAATYCATGTGTTCAAGGCATGGATTTCTAACTGTTAGAGAACATGGGAAATGCTGCATCTCTAGGACACTGGTGAGCTCGAGGCACAACTCGCTTGTGGGCCAACTCTGGGTCTCAGTTAAGTGTTTGAGTAACATCACAGGAAGCTAAACTTCTATTCTCTAAAAGCTCCTTTTGCTTCAACTGCCCTTTTTCTGACCTACTTGAATCTCATCAGGAGATACAATTTGCACTTTGACAAAACATATGYGTTTAAAAGCATCAGGCTCAGCTATAATAGACATGCTAGCAGGTTCAGCTCAGTTCTTGTCTGCGTAGCTGCTTTCAGGCTTCCTGTGGATATTCTTCAGCCTCAGGAAAACCTGACACGATCCTCTGGTTTTGCCTGCAGCTCTTCTTCCACTTGCAAAGAGAGCGCTGTTTCCGTGAACCCCGCGCCCGCTTTTATGCTGCAGAAGTTGCTAGTGCAATTGGGTACCTGCATTCCTTAAATATAATTTACAGGTAAGATGTGTTCGGGTGTGTTGTGCTGGGGTTGTTGTGCAAAGCGCAGGGTTGGAGTAGCTGCAGAGCTGCCTGCTTCACACATAGCTCTGCTCCACTGGCACTGCCTCCTGCAGGAGGGTGATGTCTGGACAGGACTGATGGGCTATAAGTATGTGCAGCCTTTGGAAGGGGAGGCAATTGCTGGTGAAAGCTGTGAGGAAAAGATCTAAAATCTAGCTCGGGAAACAAGAAATTTTGTCTCGGTGATAACTAATGCAGGGGAATACAGGCTAATATCTGACCCTGTGTGAGAGTAGTCTTTCTATTTTATGKACAAATGTTGATTTCCAACAGTGAAATCCAGCTGTTCTCTGGGAAGGTTGTAGTGATTCCRATTGTCAAGTCCAGGCATCTCCTGCTGCTCTCAGCTGACACTGCTCCAGGTCAGGCTCTCCTGACCACCTAGCCAAACCTGCTYCATTAGGAATTTTTGTCTTGCAGGGACTTAAAGCCTGAGAATATCCTCTTGGATTGCCAGGTATACTYGCCTGTCATGTTCATTTGGCTTTGAAAGCATTGGGATCACCAATAGATGTGACTTGCTTTGCTGCATGSATTTGGTGCACGCTGCTGCATGTGTGGTTCCTGCTGGTGTTTCTGCCCTGAGTGGGGTTTGGTCTGGGAACAAGAAGCCACACTGTTATAAGGAAGTCTCTGTGGCTGCTCTAGAGGTGTCACGCTGTGTCACCTGGCCCTGGGATAAAGGGGTGGCTGCAGAGCACAAACAAGGGCTCTGGGTGCCTTCACAGCCACACACCTGCAAGCACACTTAAAATCTAGCTCTTTCTATAGGCTCCTATATGTTATAAGATGCCTGTTAAGCAATGGAGGGGAGCGAGATGGGCAACAGGCACTGCAACATAATGTGCCAGCCCCAAATCCCTCCCTTTTGCTTAGGGACATGTAGTTCTGACGGACTTTGGACTCTGCAAGGAAGGAATGGAGCAAGAAGAGACCACRTCTACGTTCTGTGGCACCCCGGAGGTACAGTGTGTGCTGGAGGGTTTTGCTGTTCCCTGCAAGCCAAGACACCTACATGGGTTTCAGCTCTGAGTGGGCTCAGCACCTCTGAAACACAGACTGTAGGAGCTAGGGACCATCTTGGGGCTCTTTATGAGGTTGTCAGCCTGAAGCTGGAGTTAACATAAGGCSTTTCCTGCCTTATGTTTAAGGGAGAAGGGTTTACCCCTAAGAGCTGACTAGGACTTTAAATCAGCTGTGCTGTCAAGGACTGGGTGTCCTGGAGTATGGGAACGGCTGTTCTTGTGAAACAGGGGCCGTTCCAAGTGACTCTGGAGACAACCTTGACCCTAGAAGCCCAGGCACAGGCAGCTGTGAGCAGGTTGTTTACCTGTTCTGATGGCCTCTGGTTTCAGCACATGAAGGGCCCTGCGATACGAAGGGCTATGGGATACATGGGGCTGCAAAATCTTTGCTCTGGAGGACAGGACCAGGTGCTGAACAACATCTTATCTGGGCAGATTTAGGCCTGAAAAGCTAGTGCTTTTTTTGGAACTATAGAAGCCATGTAGGTGCTGCATGTCCCTCTAGGACAGGYTTGCTGGTTGAGTTGTGGTGGCAATTCTTTGTGCTGGCAGGTGCCTTTCAAAACCACTGCTCTGAAGCAAATGGAAGGCCAGTTAAAAACCTGTGGGAACKGGTTCTGTGTCCTTCCTAGTGCATTTGCTTTGCTTGAACTATAATCAAGTTTCTGTAGTTAGAAGCAGAGTCCTTTCCATATAATTGGATTCAAATATATATTTTTCTTTCTGGCTCTTCCTAGTACTTGGCTCCTGAGGTGCTAAAGAAGCAGCCATATGACAGGACAGTAGACTGGTGGTGCCTTGGAGCTGTCCTCTACGAGATGCTTTTTGGACTGGTGGGTTTTGAAGCTGTTTTACTCTGAGGGATAACCCTTTCTTAAAGGCTGGGAGGTTGGCCTGGTGTTCATACGGCATGTGATACAGATGATTGAATCTCATTTAAGGCCTTAGTTCAGCCATATCATTGACCTTCTAACAGATAGATCTGGCAGGTCTTCCTCATCCCCTCCCTGCTGAACTATTTACACCTATGACGTGTGRTTCTGTTCAGTAGTTCATTACAATCTGCTTCTCTCTTCCAAATTAGCCTCCTTTTTACAGCCGGGATGTGTCTCAGATGTACGACAACATTCTGCACAAGCCGCTCCAGGTCCAAGGAACCAAGACCATAGCGGCTTGTGACATCCTCCAGGGACTTCTCCACAAGGACCAGAAAAGGAGGCTGGGTGCCAAGACAGACTTTGTAGGTGGCTTTCMTTATGGTTGGGAGAAGTGATAGATAGAAACCTTCTTCTGAACTTTCTTTTGTGATAACAGCACTGCCATGGGAGAAAGTTTTCCAAGTAGGTTGCTCTCTTTCTCCAGCCGTAAAAGGAGCTAATAGAGGGAAACAGGGCTTGGCTAAAGGTCATCTCACCTCTAGATATGGTGACTCTGTGGAATCCTTCAGGTCTCCTTTTGAGTTATGATCTGATCTAGCACACCCAGCTTGTACAGCTTCTCTRAAGTCTCTGTTTGGCTCCATGGTGGCCAATGCCAGGAATCTATTAAGAAGCCATGGTTCAGAAGCAAAGGGAAATGCTACTGATCAAGCTGTGGGGGCAAGCTAGGATGCAACAGGATAAGGTCTCTCTCTGGGGATTTGCCAAACCACTGTGCTCATGCRGTGAGGATTTTCTAAGCGTGTTCTCCATAAATGTGTGGTAGCTCCAAGTTAGGCTTCAACAATGAACCACTGTGGCGGGGGGGAAAAGAAAGCTGGCAGAGCACCGACTTTTTCCCTTCCTTTTTCTTCTCTGCAGCTTGAGATCAAGAACCATGTATTCTTTAGCCCAATAAACTGGGATGATCTGTATCACAAGAGGATTACCCCTCCATTCAACCCCAATGTGGTAAGTGGATATYTTTGTTGATAGTGGTTTATATTGTGGCACAAATGGAATTGAGCCTTCAAGGTCAACAGTTCCTTTCCAAATGCCTCATGTTGACCTCGAGCTGTGCTGAAGCGCAAGCTCTGAACCTCAAATRTGGAGGTAATGACTGGGGAGAGTTGCTGTGTGAGACTGTCCAAATATACCCTCGTRGTTGATGTGTACTCATGAAATGATCCTCTTCTCTGCTCCTTGTTTAGGCTGGCCCAGCTGATCTACGGCACTTTGATCCGGAGTTCACCCAGGAAGCCGTCTCCACCTCCATCACGCACACCCCTGACCTAGCAGCCAGCAGCTCCAGTGCCTCCGATGCATTTTTAGGATTTTCTTATGCACCCACAGAGGAGGACATCTAGGTTTTTATAAAGGCTTTGAGAAGCCAGATTTTAACTGAATGGCTTTTATCCTTTTTGAAAGGAATTCTACTGTCCTCTGCTTGTGGTTTAAGGAAACTGGGACTAACACACTAACTGGCTGGGACAGAGTTGAATTTGGTGGGTTTCCTTCGCAATGACTATTTCTCTGGTAGCGGAGGTGGGGCACTGATTTTTATTTTTTTTTCTCCCGGGGTGTTTTTGTACAACTCGGGCAGAATTGTATCTACTCTTTGTATTTATGGTTGAGGTATGTACCATTAATTGCATTGGCAACCACATCCCTTTAACTGGCCACTTGTGTGTGGAGCTAACTCAGCCCAGCTCTGCCTATTTTTCTTGCCCACACAGGCACACTCGGAGATACTGATCACACTACCTCCAGCAGTGGCAAAAGCAGTGGCTTCCTTCCTTAAATGAGCACAAGTCCACTTAGAGTGGTTGGGAAAGGGATAGTTAAACTGAACTAGGTTACTTTAGCAAGTCCTCTCTGTAAGGCCAGCAAAAGGGGCAGTTCATGAGGTTCTTCTGTTGGTGCTGGAAACATTAATATGTGAGGGGTGAATTCTGCATCCTGGGCTGAGCTCACAGGGGGCAGAGCTGGGCTGAGACTAGGGATTGCTCCAAAGGCAGCCCATGGTATGTGGCTCCTGACTTGTGCTGCAGTTGTCCAAGCTGTCTGTGTGTCCCYAGATGAAGGGGTCTTCCCCTCGGCACGGGGCTGGTGCTGCTCTGCAGGGGCAATGTATGCAGAAATCCGGGGTAAAAGGAACAGCAAGGTGCCAGGCAGCTTGGTCACCTCTAGCTCACCTTATAGCCCACCCTAGCCTGGAGGAAAAGGGGCTCTTTCTGTAGCACAGGCTGCACCTTCGTCCACCTCTGAKGGATGCAAGCGTGGGCCAGAGCACCATGGAGCAGAGGCCAGTGTGGCCAAGGGAGGCCCTAAGTGCAACTCCAGCCCCTGCGCACGGTGACCAGCACTTCAGCCAACAAATAATGAGCTGGGCTCTGGTGCTGCTCCCCAAAGCCTGTCACCAATGCAGAAGTGCTACTTATTCTGCCTTAATTGGAATGCTGGTATAATCACCTGAATGTCACCACTCCACCCTTTCTTTTTTTAGGAGTTATTCTGGTTCTGGGGGGATGCGAAATAGCTGGGGACCTTCTTATTTGTAGGTGCAACACAGGGCCTCATCAGGAGCATTTTGAAGAGCTGTGCAACCATCCTGCTGTGGGCGAGCCTCGAGGGGAAGACTTTTTTTAATTACCAACCTCTCTTGTACATAAATTTAAGACATGGTTTATATTAAAAGTGAACACATAGATGCTCTTTCACCTCTGGTGCCTGTCTGTAACAGGGGCGAGCAGCTGCCTCCTGAGCGGCCTAGCTCACAGCTGTTTCCATGTACCCACACATTCCACTCTCTTAAAATAAATAAAGGAAGGAATTTAGGAGAGCGGGGAAAGGGGGTGGCGGATTTTATTGCTGAGCTGTAGGCAGCACATGCACCACAACACAGCAGCCTGCAGTTACCTCAGGGGCTGGCAGGAAATGGCGGCGGGGGGCGGGCTCCCGCCCAGGCGCCCCCCCCCCCCTCCCGCGGTGGTACAGCCCAAACTCCCCCCTCCCCTCAGCAATGGAACAGCCCCCCGCGCTTCGCGAAGGTTCTCGGGCCGAGGCCGCTTTTGCGCCTGCGCCGCGCGCGGGCTGCGCATGCGCGGCGGGCGCGTTGCTAGGCAGCGCGCGCTGCCCCCCGCGCAGCCCGCGGCCGGTGACGCGGGGCCGGCGGCTCCGCTGCGGGGAGCGGCCGCCATGGAGAAGGGCCCGCAGAACGACATCGTCTTCARCGCGTCCAAGGGGGAGGCCTTCACCCCCGCCAGCGGCTACAAAGCCCTGCGCAAGCGGCTGCGCAGCGCATGGAAGGTGCAGAGGTGAGCGCAGGCCAGAAGCCGGCCTTGCCCTTCGCTGCCGGCCCCTATGAAGTTTGTTAAAAATAGAAAAACGGCCCTTTTATATTAAATGGCTATATTGTCTGCTGCAAGATACATCGAGAAAATAGGGGAAAAAAGTAAGAGGAAGCTCATGCAAAATTTCATAGCAACTGTGATGTACTAATTTAGTGTATGTGTTGTTCAGTGGATTGAAATCTGTAAGGATTGTTTAAGGCTTAGTTGTAAACTTGCAATCTAAAGAAAGGGATGTGAAGGGACTGAAGTGCTTTATGTTTATTCTTTTTTTTTTTTTTTTTTTTTTTACAATAATTTGTGATTTGGGGCTGTATTCAAGGATAACGTGTCTCTTGTTGATGTATTTGTAGTTTAAAAGATGAGATCACGTCGGAGAAGCTGGTTGGAGTAAAATTGTGGATTACAGCAGGGCCGAGAGAGAAGTTCACGGCTGCTGAGGTAAGAAGTGAGTAGTTCTGTGCAGTTTAGTTGTGGTTCTAGGTTTGTTGAATACAGAAGAGAATAGAACAGTGCAGTAGACTTTGCAATATTGCTGTTTTATATACATTTACACAAATGAAGATTTTAGAATACCTTTCTTGTAGGATCAAATTCAATACAAGTAGCCAAAAGCCAATTCCCTGATCTCAGTGTAAATTCTCGCTATATTGTTCTTTGCTCCCTTCTTATGTGTTTTGGTGGATTTTTGTTACTTTTTAGTTTTCTGCTCTGAAGAAGTTCCTGGAGGAGGGTGGAGCTCTGCTGGTGATGCTGACGGAAGGCGGAGAATCCAGATACGGCACAAATATTAACTACTTGTTAGAAGACTATGGGGTAGTTGTCAATAATGGTAATGGAACCACTATTATGTTTTATACCTCTCTTTCCAACAAAATCTGGAAAACAAGATAGGTCTTTGTAGGTATAAGCTGTTTGCAYATCTCTAAAAATGAATGTTTTGAATGTTTTCCTTAAAATCTTCTTGTATGTGATTGTAATGCTGAGGTTCATCAAGGGCTTTTTATGTCCTCATTGGTTTGATAACACAACCATCTTTCATTTCTTTGCTACTTTGTTCTGCTAGTTAGTTTAAATATGTTAATGTGTTAGTGTTGAAGATATTTAAGGAAAAAAAACCCTAACCCCAGTGGTGTTCCTTGGTAAATAGCCTTTTATTACAGACTTTTTTTTCCCCCAGTTTTTGTATTTTAATGGGTTGAGTCTCTTTATGTTTGCTTACAAAAAAAAAGCGTCAGCTCTCTTYATTTCCTTGCTAAAATACTATGTATGTAAGTGTATGTTTCCCAAAAGCAGCTAAACTGTGTGTTTGAGTGCCTAGATATTTTTAAGCACAGCTGGTCTTCTAGGCTCTGCTTTTTGTATGAGAACACTAACAGTTTGGGAAGATGTATAAACAAGAATTTAAATTTGTAAACCATGGTAAATATTTACTCTTTTAATTTCACTGTCCATCTCTAAAAATTACGGATRATGTGGGATGTTCTTATTCTGCATATTTTTATTCGAACTTGCAAAAACATACAGATTTAGAATATGAAAGTCCAGAAGGAAATTCTTGTGGGAACCACATGCCAGTTTTGTGTTAGCAGACACCCTAGTAGCTGAGAGCTGAATTCATTTATCATTCTTATGTTTAGCATATTATATTAATGGTGTACGTTTTCTCATTTTCTCTTCAAGATGCTGTAGTAAGAAACGTATATTACAAATACTTCCACCCAAAAGAAGCACTGATTTCTGATGGAGTTTTGAATAGGTAAGTATTTGGGGTAAATAAATGTATACAATGACGTCTTCTACTCCCCCATGTTTTCAGTAGGACTCGCTTTTCCATCTTTTGTAGAGGGATCAGCGAAGCTACAAGAAAAACGGGGTTTGAGATAACAGATGAAGATGGAGGGGGACATGCTGCACAGTAAGTGTTTTCCTCTGTCTCCTATTTGGAAAGATATGTTAGAAATACGAATTGCCAAATTTTTAACCTAGCAGGAGTGTATTGTGCTTATGCTGAGGTGCTTCGATACATTTTTAATGCCTTTCAGATTCTTGCTTCTCAAGGGTCTAGCTGGAAAGAAGAATCTATTCAGTAACTCTTGGCAGTTAGTTGAGGAGCAGAAATAGTAGATTTTGAAAGGCATTTTCTGTGAATTTGGTTAAATAAATATGAATATCCCCTAGTAGTATGTGTGGCTGCAGGCATGAGGAAGTCTAGTTATTTTCAAAGAGTTTAACTGCAGAATAAGACACAGAAGTAAGATGTATGTCATAAATTTTATAATATGTATTTGCAGGCAAATCCTCTACTTGTCTGAAATTGAGAAGTACACAAAAGGAAATGAATAATATTCTCTGTTACTTAAGTAAGACAAATTCTCAACTTGAAAAATCTTTAGAGAGAGCCTAAAATATCTTTTTAGTTTTCAGACTTTTATAATGTATTCCTATTAGCATTGTACCACCAGTGCACAACTAAATTTACAGTTAGGCAGATAGACTGAGTCTTGTATTGATGACTGGCTGCCTGGCTGTGGCAGGTACTTAGAGAGTTTCTGTATTTCCTGCAGAACTCTTACTTTTGTGTATCCATTTGGTGCCACACTGAATGTAATGAAACCGGCAGTGGCTGTTTTGTCCACAGGATCTGTTTGCTTCCCACTCAACCGACCCATTCTTGCCTTTTATCAGCATGAGGTACGATTCTGCATGAACTAAACCGTGTATTCCCCCCTTGCCTCCATAAGAATTATAAGTACAGTAGCTGGCAGAGCTTATAAACCACTAGAATTTTTTATGTGTTTGCAAACTCCATACAAGCCCAGTGACTCTTGTCTGCATTTGAAGAAAACTTGGTTGTGCAGAGTTCAAAGGAGTATGAATTTGATGGTCAGCAAAGATTATGTATTTCTTTGGGGAAGRGATGGTTATTTTCACTTCTTCAAACCTTTTTTCACTTTTTTAGTGAGTGTTACGTAAGTGATTTTGTTTTTAGCTTCATAAAAATGCCATATGGTATTAGGAAAGAGGGCCAGATCCTTAAAACCAGTAGATTTTTATGTATTGCCTGCTGGTACCCGTTTAGTTGATTTTTTAAAATAAATCGGAAAGCAAGTAGTAGTCGATAGGTACAAAGAGATAAGATGGCTAATGAGTGTCAAATGTTAGCATGTTTACTATGTGGATGCATTTGTAACAGTAAACTGTGATTTTTTTGGTATCTTAGGTTTTTTTTTTCTGAAGATGTCTGACAATTCACCTGTGTTATGTCTGAAATAAGCCTCAAAAAAACAAAGACAATACAGCAACATAAAGTGAACTTTTAAGTACACTTACTGCCCATGTTCTAGTCTGTAGCAGTCTGAGAGAGAGATATTTACATCTCTCCCCTCACTGATGTGTTTGCATGTAGATCCAAACGTATGGATCCATGCGTGATCTTATGCCTGTGGTTATCTTGAAGTTTTTTGCAGTAATGATGAGAATGCTTTTCGGTATCATCATGATGCAAATTACATAAAAGGCAAATTGTACTAGGTCTATAGCCATGATATTTAACCTTGTGTTTCACTACTGTATCCTTTAAGAAGAGTCTCCAATGTTTCCCCTATGGAAAGGATGTTTTCTCTTGAGAATTACAGCAACTAAATTACACTTTAGAGGAAACCCAGTAAATATTTCTCTACCTTTGTGGAGTCATTTGCGTGGGTTGATTACCAAAATGTAATAGCTTTGTGTAGTGGAAACAGTTTCATAGTGGAAACAACACTGGCATTCCTTCCACTGATACGATGCAGGGGCATAAAGTTAGAGATCTTTAATTGGACATGATTTTTCCAAACTAGCAGGAGGAAGTTTTAGACAGAAAGACGAAAGATGAATAACAAGACTTGTGCCTATCTTGTGACTTTTATTCCTAATTATATTATGCTGTGAATTTAATACTTGATGCAGAAAATATCTCTGGTTTTGTTGTGTTGAAAACTTACCATTCTTCCTGTTTCTTACGTATTTTCTTGTGGAAGGGTTAAGAGGTAATCTGTATAGGAAGGAATTATCAAGACTTTTTTTTTTTTTTTTTTTGGATTGCCAATCACTTTCTCTCTAATTGTATGAGATGTAGATCACTAGCTTTAGTAAATTTATAATCCATTGTATGAGATTTAGATCACTAGTTTTAGTAAATTTATAAGCCTCATAGATGCATACTCTGACAGGAATTCAGTGTTCTTGTGAGCTTGCCGTCTTTGAAACTGCCTTTGGCACTACTTTTTCCAAAGTTCCCATTTCTTTCTTTAAAATCACATTGTAATTAAACTGCATTAACCGTTGTCTCTAAAGCTTTGACCTGAAAGGTTTTATTGCTTTATTTTCTTCGTTGATAGGCTCGAGGTGGAAAGATGGCAGTGTTGGGATCTTGCCACATGTTTTCAGATCAGTATTTAGATAAAGAAGAAAATAGTAAAATCATGGTGAGTTTCAAAATAATGTTTTCTTGGTGGATCTTTACAACATTTATACAGTAGATCAAGCCTCTTAACTTACTCTTAGATCAAGACATCTATGAAATAGATTCAATATGGACATTTTAGCCCAATGCTAACATATTGGGGACATTTCACAAACCACAAGTAACAGAAAGGTGTTCTTAAAAAAAATATATGTTGTGGGACTCTGAAAAGTTTTTACTACTGCTGTCCCCTGTTTCATTGTTGTTGTTCTTTAAGCATCAGTAACTTTTTGGTTTATTACTTACTTAGATTTTCTTTAGAGCTTGATTATGTTTAATAGTAAACCTTTGCATGTATAGCCCYGAGCATTTAGAGAGTGTAATGGATTTTTCGAAGTGGAGTATGTAATGTTGTGATTGTGTATGTAAGAGAAGGTGTTTTATGCAGAGGTATTCCTTGAAATTATTCCTCTAACACTAAACGTTGCTCCTTTTTGTGAGTCATTGCTACCAGTATACAATATGTAGTGGGTTACTTACCTTGGTTAATATATTRACCCAGTATACAGTAATATAGGGTTATGTTTTCTCCCTGTAGATCCTATGGTTCATTACACTTTTTTCCCTTAATTTTTCAGCATATTCTTAGTTAGATTTATTATTAATGCTTAAGCAGTTATAGCACTGTAAGAGATTACTTGGACTTTCCTGAAATGATTTGTTTTGCCTTTCTCCAGGATATGATTTTCCAGTGGCTCACAACTTCTGACATCCAGTTAAACCAGGTCGATATGGAGGACCCCGGGGTAAGAGAGATCAATCAATCAATGACAGCGAAATAGAGAATAGTTTGATCCAACAGGAGCAGTGTTGCCAAATCATGTATTTGGCAGTAAATTTGGCAGCTAGGTAAATGCTGAAGACCTTTATAAAGTTTATGGCAGGACCTGGGCAAGACAGAGGGCCTAGATATTAAAAAAAGAGAGAAAAAAATAAAGACATAGAATCTCTGTCCGAGTTGGATTGATGTTTATTATAAAACTTTGGTCAGAAAAGTATGTTCCAAATTTGCCTGTGTTTATCAGATTACCTAGTGGGTTTGTTCGTCAGGTCTGAGCCCTCAGGCAGGAGSAGAAAACACAAGTAAAAGCAGATTTTCTGTGTTTGAGTAGGAATCAGTTTGTGTATTGTTTTCAGCTGACTTTTAGCTGATATATGTAAATGCTGTTTCTTTATTTAGAAATAGCATGCATGACAAAACTGTATAATTCCTATGCATAAGAAGAGCTCCATTTTCACGGTTGATTACAGGGAGCGCCACTTCTTTTTGTTAGAATACAGCTAATTGGCTGTACAGTTTAGAGAATAGGGACTATACRCTTTACTAAACCTAGCAGGCATTTGCAAAAAGTAAATTGCAAATGATAATCACTGATAAAGGTATTTATAGATAACATTTTAAATGAGGTAAAAAATAGAGACTGTGCAAATTATATATTTTTTCCACTCATGGCAGTCTTTGTGTCCAGATTTCAGACTACACAATGATCCCAGATACAGCAGCGTTGTCTGAGCGATTRCGAGTCTGTCTGCAAGAGGGAGAGGAAATTCCAAGAGACTTCACAAAGTTGTTTGATACATCTCTTTATCAACTAGATACAACTGCCCTTCCTTCAGTTATCAAGTCAGCAGCTGTGATTTTTTTTTTTTCCTTTCTGTATTTGTCATTTTCTGTTCATGTTTCGGTGTGTGGGAGCTTATGAGCAGAAGAGTTTGAGCTGAAAACAGTGTTACAAATATGGATACACTAGAGATTTGAGTTGCACAGTGCCCCAGTGATGTTTTGGTTTACTCTTACCCCTTTTTTAGCTGTAATTTTGTAATTTCTGACATTTTCTTTGCTTTTTTTGGAATGCTGCTGCTTTAACGAACTGGGATTTCTTACAGAACTTTCCCCAGGGATACTGAGTTTATAACATTTCCTTCTGAAATACTTGAGAGCTGCTTATTTTTCCACTTAAGTGTACTATTGGGCATTTATTGATGCTGAATTTCATTCATCTTTGTGTTTCCCAGTGATTCTTTATCTTGAGATCTATTTACTGCTGTATTGTAGCTTGTAACAGTGGTATAAGTATCTGTTGTGATTTTTCCAGTTGTAGTTCACCTTTCTGGGCTTCTGTGTTGTGTTGGTCAGTCACTGGAGGCTTGTTTATGTTTTTTATTTTATTCCTCTGTGAAGAATGTTGATCCTGGTGTCTTTGAAATGTTCATATCTGTAAGTGGGATTGGAAGTGGATATTGTATTGCTGAAAGTTGATATTGTATCATTCCTTCTCTTTACACTTTGACTCTTTCCSTGCTGCAGAGCTTATGAGCAGCTGAATGTGAAGCACGAACCTCTCCGGCTTATCCAGCCTCAGTTTGAGACTCCTCTACCTCCCCTTCAGCCAGCTGTGAGTAACCTCCTCGCTGAGACAGGACATGGAGAGTTCTCCTTTCACCTGTAAAATTTCTGTGTTTCATTTCCATAGTTCTCAGGAGAGAGAGCAGGGGAAAAAAAAAAAAAGAGATGCTGTGCTAATATTAATTATTTGAGCTTGGAATACATTTAAAAAGTCTGTCTTTTAAAAAGGAAAGTTTATTTACAATTGTATTTTTTATCAACGGAGCTTGAAAATGAAGCATCTGGTGGCACAGCACAATCACAATCTAGAGAGCTCAGGATGACTTACCTATATAATCCCTTCAGATTCTGCCTGTGTGATCCCAGTCTTGCAAGGCGTTGAGTTCAGCCTTCACTGTGAAAACAGAACATGCTGTTCAGGGAAGCAGCGATGCTGCAAGTTGTTTACTGGGTGTTGCTAGAGGAGGAACCAGTTTATCCCAATCTTTTTTTTTATTCTTTTTCATCCATTGGGAACCAGGAAGTGGAGCACTGCTCTTCTATAGCAAGGGCTGGCTGAATTTAGTGGGCAGCAGCAACATGACCTTCAGTGGTGGCAAATTTATTTCAAAGAGCAGGTGTCTTTTTAAGTTTTGCTGTCACTGCTCTGTCCTTTTGTTTTGTCCCTGTGGAAAGCTTAGTGTGATCCTTACGGCTGCAGTGATGCCACTGAAAGTAGGGTCTCCTGCCCAGCTCTTCAGCAATGCAGTGTGTTTACTGTCATTTCAGAATGGTGTTTGCATAAAAAGAAAAATACGTATTTTCCCTGCAACCTTTGCCTGAATTAATCTGAATCCTCCCCAGGGGAATGGATCCAAAATTGAATTGCTAAATCTCATGGAACAAATCTAAAACCAAACTACACAAATGCACTATGTCTTTTGTTGTGATGCTAGGTGGCAATAAATGAGATTATTCAAAGCTRTGTTCCACATGAATCAGAAAAGCATCGGATTTTAATGTTTGGTGTCGTTCTAGGAATATCTAGAATAAGAGTGGAAGGGAAGAAATTCTGGCATATGCGAGATTAAACTCTTTTGAAATATTTAGTTATTTTTATGAAATTTAAATAGTATTTTAAAAATATAAGAGGTTTCTGAAGCCTGATGAAACTCCAAACCTGTTTAKCTAATTACCTACAAAGTGTAAGGAAATTACTTGGTAATGAACCATGGTAATTCTTGTCTTCAAGGTTTTTCCACCTGCTTTCAGAGAATTGCCTCCTCCGCCGCTGGAGCTGTTTGACTTGGATGAAATCTTTTCCTCTGAGAAAGCCCGTCTAGCAGAGATTACAAACAAATGTAAGCGGAGCACACTGGTTGTTTACCTGTTCATATATAAAATACAAGTTTTTGGAGGAAAATTGGTGATAAATKCAGTGTTTTCAAAATGCTCAGAGTCTTCAGAAGGTAGTGCACGTGATGTCTTGAAATATCAGACGACATCAGTGTAGCTGCTTCTTCCTTTCCCCATGCCTTTTGTTTTCTCCTTTCAAATATATGTATGATCTTCAAGTGTCCTGTTATGGCAGAGAGTTTTGGCTTCCTTTTTTTTGAGTATTATTCATGAAGTTACCACTGCAACAATTAATGTTGATTKTGGTGAAGTGCCTGTGTGCTGCTCTCCTTACTGATGAGACTGCAGCTTGTTTAATACAGACAGACACTTTGTTTCTACTTTCCATTGCCTATATCATTCATAAATCATTTTTTACACTGTCGCTGATTAAGTTTGCCTCTGTTTTAAAGTAAAAATGATGAGATTTATTCTGAAGGCACTTGAATTTAAACAAGATGASTGTTTGTTAAAAACAAATTTAAACAAGTGCTAGCTGTACAAGGACACCATGGCTAGTCTACCCACTGTCATTATAGGACCTTAACTTGCCCAAATGCTAATGACAGATAGCAAAAAGGAGTATTTTTTTGCACAGGTAGTGCAGCTATGTATAATATCCATCTCTTTCCTTTCTTGGGATGCTTGTTTAGGTACTGATGATGACTTGGAGTTTTATGTCCGAAAGTGTGGCGAAATCCTAGGAGTAACAAGCAAACTGCCCAAGGACAAGCAAGATGCCAAGCATATCCTGGAGCACATCTTTTTCCAAGTGGTTGAGTTTAAGAAACTGAATCAGGTATTTTAATTGCAAGTGAATAATCTGTATTATAAATGGTAATGTGTATTATCGGCACGGATGCTGATAGTAGGAGCAAGAGTACAGAGATACATTAAGGCACTTGCTGTACAGTAAAATAGACCAGTGAAGTCTGATCTAGAATATTTATAACTGGTAATCTTTATAGAATATACAGTGTTTGTTTTCTTAAGTGTTTCATTTATTTTAATTGGGGGATTAATGCATACAAGTGTAGTTCAGGTAATTTAAGCTTAATATGGCTCATTGGTTGTACACACTTTGTAAAACTAATATTCCTTRTGTGTGTACCCATTTCTTGATGGTCCCACATGAGAAATGAGCAGTGTTGTGCACAAGGAAGATTATGTTTTAAGTACCTGTTCACTGTAAATTTGATTATTTTAAGCCTGGTTGGGAGAACTCCCACCAAAATCAGTTGCTTTCAGCAGTTCCACATTGGTTGGATAGTCTAGTTCAAGAGAAAATCTTAAATTTTTACTGTATCATTAATATTCTGTTGTATGTTTTTTTTTCCCCTCCTCCTTTTATTCCCTTCACTAAGGAACATGATACGGACACAAGTGAAACTGGATTCCAGAATGGTAACTGAGACCTCCCTTTCTGCAGTCTGAGAGGTGTTTTAGTAAGAAAATACKTGTAATTTTTTTAATCTCCCTTATATTATTTTTCATTATATTAATTGGGATCATTCTAGTAGTTCTTTGAATGTATGGATTGTTTATGTGYAGTACTACAGACAATCCAAGCATTTCAAAGAAGTGCCTTGTATTTTGCAACCATTTTCCAAGTAATTCCCTATTTTTCTACTCTTTTATTGTAACTGTGATTTTTTTTTTTTAACGTATAAAACAAAGTCTTATAAAATAAGGATTTGGATCCTTTTGTATGACTGTAGCATTTATGTTCTTGTAGTAAGGCTTGCAGTGGATTCTTTCACTGTGCACATAGTCCTTAGTGACCCTGGGAGAAAGATGAGCATTTTGGTGTGTGAACTGTGGAAGAAAACATTACCTAAGTGAACGAAAAAGAGGTAGGATTCAATGAGTTATTATTTAAGAAGACAGGATTCTGTGCAGCAACTTTGGGAATAGCCCAGATACAGAATATGTATAARTAAAATAACCTGTAAGTAAAAAACACTCCATGCATAGTGAAAGAAAGTGAAGAAGGAAACTTTAAGTGGAATTCATTGGCTGTGAAATAATTGAAGCTCAGTGCAATAGCAAAAATGGTGCCAACAGTATTAGCAATGAAAGGAAGCGATTTGTCAATAGTATTAGCAGTGTATCTGTTGCAAGGACATTCTTTTTACATAAACATGATGAAATTGCACACATTGGTATGTCAGCAGGAGTGGTTGTGTGTCTGCTCCCTCTGTAGCCCTTTTCTTACCTTTTTTAAGGTAGGTGGTTGTGATACATGGCTTATTTTACACAGATACAGGCATTTCAGTGAAGAATTAACAATTTCCCTGCCCTTTTCACTGCACGGGCTAGAGTGGAACTCTGCACCTTAATTCTTGATCAAAGCAGCATCTTTGAGGTTTCTTACTTATGTCTCTTAACTTTAATGACCCAGTTGTATGTTTTTACAGAGCAGGGCATGGTATGTTCCAGCTTGTGTAGATCAGAGATTTACACAATAAGCTTAATCTTCCGTCTGCAGTATCAATACCAACCAGTCAACTGGCACAGCCTGCAGCGAACCAAACATCTGTGTGATCCCCTTGCTCCTTACAGCTCTGGTTTGTACTGGTCTCTGCTGTTTATACTTCAAACTGTAAATAAGTTCTCTTCCTAGGCCATTTTTTGTGAGTTGTCACCTGTTCCTGATGTTGTAATGTGTTTTAGGAAGAGTCATCTGAGCAGCCTGAGAACACAAGCAGCTCTGTGTTTAGTATTTGGCATCTATAGCACCAGTCTAACAGCTGAAATAGATGTTATTTTGTCCAGAACCTCTAACATAAAACTGACATGGAAGCAAAAGTTTTCTCCTTTAAGGCTGTTCCCATCTGGTTGCAGGATTGTGGTACGTGTAAGGTTTAGTGTGAGTGACAGAATATTAAAGGAGTTAAAGGGGTGACAGTTTTTGCCTCAGTTTAATAAAGACAGTGCCTGTTAACACATAGCTCACTAGGGAGCCCACAGAGTAATGACTGTAGAGCTRCAGCTGCCAAATCTTGGCTGGTGGACTGATTCATGACCTACATCCATGCTGTTTTTCTTCCCCCATGCTCAAAGGGGGACCCAGAGCTCTAGGAGGGTGTTCGTTGGTGGGCTRCTGCTCCATCTCCCTCCTGCTGTCCCCATGCAGTCCTGCTAACCCATGTCCTTTCTAGGACAGCAGTAATTTGCCCCTTTTTTGCCTCCCCTTTCCCCCCCAAAAGAATAAAACTTGCTGAGGCAGCAATTTTAAACATATTTACACAACTCCAGCCTGAGGAAGTGCTGAGAGTCAGGGCTGCTAGGCAGTGACTATCAAAGACCACACACAACCCAAAGTTGAAATCTTTATTGCATTAATACAAAAGACACAGGGGATGGGAAGAGATTGAGTCTGGGAAACTGCTCAAGGTGCTTGTYACAGAGCAGCACCACTCGGTTGGCACTAGCTTATGGCAGCTTTCTGCAGGTTACAGCTCACAAGCAGCCTATGCTTTCTCCAGCCAGCGGTGCCTCAAGCAGTTTTCCCACCTAAGTAATGTCTAAAAGTTGCACCAACATCAGCAGCAACAGGTGGTTTCATCAGCAAGGGAGAAGCCTCCAGCTCATGGTAGGAGACCACCCAGCTCTGATCTTCTGTGCTGCAGCAGGTGCATCTGCTCTGTGTAGCCTATTATGCTGTGCAGCACAGAAGCCACCTGAAGGTGTCTGATGAGGACCATAGGAGCTGAACACACACAAGCTTAAAGATTGACTTAGAGCTGAAACTCCAGCAGCAGCAGCATCACGTGGCTTGATGCAGCAACACCAAAACAGGCTCAGGGGTGCTCAGGGTCACTCAGGTGAGTCTCACAGATGGAAGACCTATGGATCAGAGTAGGGCACCTCTTGAAAGCACCAGGCCAAGCCAGAGGAATTACCACAGAAGAGGTCTCCAGCAAGGGGTTGTCTGATTTTGAGCCTCCCAGCAGCTTCAGCTCTTCTGTGCTTAAATCAAGYGACAGATTGGTGTCTAGAGGGGCTTTTATTTCAGAGATCTCCCACCTGGGGGCTGGTGACTTCCCAAAGGTTGTGATGTCAGAAACAAGCTCCATGCTCTTGGAGAGCAGATTGTCCAGTGGCTTTTCTGTCCTGCATGGCGTTGATGTGTTCTGTGAGACCACATCCATCATGGAGTGGCACCCCAGGGCCCTGTTGAGGGGCTCAGAAGGCAGACCAGAGAGATCAAAGAGAGTTTGGTCACGAGGGGTCTTGCAGAATGAGGCAAGGCTGCCATCGGAGACAACCTGGCTCAGGTTGTGCAGGTCACTCTTCACACAGCTACTCAGAGACTCTGCCTGCTTGACAGCATACAGAGAGCTGCCTTTTGCTGTGTTGTCCAAGTCTACAAAGAGCTCCCAAGTCTCAGGTTTTGAGGTGCTGCTAGAGTCCAGGTAATAACTGCAGAGAGGAGAGCTGCTATGGCTGGAGGCCCCTCTCACAAAGCCATTTTCCAGGATTTCCTTCAGGGTTAGGACACTGGTACTCTTCTTGGTGGACAACATAATGCAGTATCCCAGCAGTGTCAGGCTTATGAAGTTCAAGGTATCTGTGGTAGAATAAATGCAGTAATAAATAGAAATCCTTCAGGAGGGTGAGGAGACATGCAATATCCATGGAAATGTAAGCATCCCGATTGTAACTTTCATCTACTATTAACAGAGCTGTCTGTTCMTAGGCAGTCAGACCACAGCCTACTGATTTGCTGCACAGAGGAGGTTATTATTGTCAGGGGTCTAAGAATGTCTCCCCCAAGCACTGCAGCACCCRTGCCAAATTGAGGGTAGAAAGGAGCATCCCCACAGTTGTTTCTTTCAGCTTTTGGCCAGGGATTTGGAGAAGTCCTTGGATGTGCTGCTAGGCAGGGCTGCCCTCAGCTGGAGGCCGGAGGAACTAGTCCCTTCCTTGGGTTAGATCAGCTCTTACAGCTGAATTCAGCAACTGAATGCCATCACCCAGCATCCCTACATACCATTGCTCCTAGTTTTGTTCCCTTGCATGGAAAGRGTCTAAATAAACCCCTTCACCTGTGGGCAGAGAACAGAAGGAGCCTTTTCCTGCCAGATACTCTGTCCTAATTCCTCAAAATGAGACAGCRTTAACATCAGAGTGGAGTCACCCTGGTCCTAGGCTCTGATTATGATAACTGAAACCTCAAGAAACAGCTCTACTGTTACGTGTAACTCTACATGTGGTGAAGTCTCTGACTGGAGATTTGTGGGACCTTGTGGTCTACACATGTGGTCCCCAGACCAGGTCACCCTCCTGGCTGTTCTAGGCTTGCTCTGATGCTGCACACGGGTACAATTTGCTCTGCCAGGAMTAGTTTCCTTCACGTTCCCCCCTTTTCTTGCCAGGAAAGTTCCCTCCACTTGGTGGATCATCAACTGCTTGCTAACCACATAGAGAAGGAATAAGTGAGGCCAAGGTAGGGAAGGCAGCCAGGCGCAGCATGGGTCAGTGCAGAGGAAGAACATTCTTTAAGAGACTGAAATGCTTCTTCATCAAAGACASTTGAAATACATTAGTACATGACAGAAAAATTAAGAATAAAAATTATATATTTCYAAAGAAAGTAGGGAAAAATAAACTCTTTACCTTCAGCTTCTACAGAGACCCTCTTCAAGACTCTGATCCTTTTCTAGGGATGATGCTGGTAGTGTCTTTATAGCGTTGGCAATTAATTAACTGGCTAATTTCCTAATTAAACTAGTTGGGGAGAGGGAGGCTTTTCAGCTTAAGATRGTAGTGGCTGGGGTGTGTGACCAGCTATGCTGAGGGCAAACCCCAGAGCCTGCAAGGACCTGCTGGCCRCGTGTAACCTGGAAGCACCTCAACCAAGGTATTTGTGATTAAATTTGGGCAGGTTTGGGACTTGTATTTGTGACTACTKGAGAAGGAGCTGTGCAGGATTCCTGCCTTACAGGCCCTCAATGGAAAGCTGCTAAGCTTAGTCTGAAACACTGACTGGGAACATTTATCTGCACAGACTGAATGTTGGGAATTAGAATGAAAACGGGGGGCCCTGGCAGCCACCCGCAGGTACGTGCAGTGCAAAGCCAAGTACGTGCGAATTCCTGGTGCGTTTGGGAACGGCTGCAGCTCGTTTAGCGTTTCACACCTTTCAGGCCCGCTTTATTTTCACATGTGTGGTGTAGCAGTGCCGCCCCCTGGCAAGAAGCGAGAAGGACGGTTTCCCAAGGCTTTCCAGGTTTTCCAGCTGCGGGAGCCCGTACGCCTCCTGCCTGGGACCCTGCGGTGCCTCCCCGGCGGGACAGGGCTGGAAAAGCAGGTTGGGGAAGGTGTTTTTTGTGCTTATTTATTACCGCGCTGCGTTCGTTCCCAGCGGGGAAGGCGGAGGGCGCTGCCCCCTCTGATTTAAGCACAACCTGGGGGGCTCAGACCCCTCTTTTACACCCACCCCGGGCAAACCCGTGCCTATATGTTCAAAAGGAGCACGTTTCCCATCACACGCGTGGCCCGGGGCASAGCCCACAGGACCGAAGCGCCCAGAGGGTCGCGCCCGGGCGCCACGGGAGATGCAGGGACCCGCGGTGACACTCGCCTCCCCA